GTGGCATTCGCAAGAACTGCGTACGATCTTCAAGACTGCATTTTTTCATCGAGCAATAAAAGAAACATAATAGAAAGAATAAAATCAGTAAGCCACAACACACCTTTACATCGTGTTAAAGTCACTTAGTAAATAAATCGCTCCGAATCGCCATATTTGATTGAGAAGGATGCATGTTTTCCTTTCACAATGAAAATTTTGAAATTGCGTTGACGTCTTTTCAGTTGAAGAGTTCTTTATAACCCTGATGCTATAAAAGTTTTTGCATAGTTTTTGATTTAACCAATTGACTTATAAGGCAAGGCAAGTTCTGCTTCACTTAGAAAACAAAAAAAGAAGATTTGAAATGCAATTCGGCAATCAAAACGTCCTACGACTGATCGAAAATGTAACAATCTTTGGAGACACATGTTACCCTGCTGATATGAATTGGTATTTAAATACAAAAAGAACTATCCCATTCACAAAAAAGGGTCAACGTATGTTTTGCATTTGACTAAGCTAATTACTTTTTTTATGGCATTTGTAGATCAATGCTCTGACTTGAACTGGCATTAGCCGAAAGATTTAGGTTACTCAGTTGCGTTTTCTAGTTCCCACAAAAACATGGTGTTCATGAAAGAATAAAAAATTTATTGTTTCTATTCACGCTTAGATCTAGCAAGACAATCAAACGTAGACTAGAGAGCACGCTAAAAAATAACAAAATAATCAAACGTAAACTATAAAGCACGCTTCAAACTGACAAAACTATCAAACGTAAACTACGGAGCGCGCTTAAAACTAACAAATCAATCCATCATAAACTACAAAGCATACTTAGAACTAATTAAACAATCAAACGTAAACTACAGGGTGCGCTTAGAACTAACATAAAAATTAAACAAAAACTACAGAGCGCGCATAGAACTAACAAAAAATCAAACGTAAACCACGGAGCGCGCTTGGACCTAAAAAAACAATCAAACATAAACTACAGAGCGCTCTTAGAACTAAGAAAACAATCAGACGTAAAGTACAGAGCACGCTTAGACCTAGCAAAATAATCAAACGTATACTACAGAGCGCGCTTTGACTTAACAAGGTGGTCAAACAAACTACAGAGCACGCTTAGAACTAATAAAGTAATCAAACGTAATTTACAGAGAGCGTTTAGATCTAACAAAGAAATCAAACGTTAATCTAGAAAAGAGGCAATTTTCACACATCACAAATTTCCTTCCGTAGCATTTCTAGTTTTTTTTTTGATGATTCCTTTCGACGTTATTATCATATTAGAACAATAAAAAGCAGGGGTCATTGGACTTGTTTTCATGCAATAGCTTTCGTCAGTTTAACAATTTCCACGCGCGTTCTCGCGCATTTGAAAATCTGGATTCTATAAGATCGTCATTTGCTCATGATCTGTTTTAGCTACCGCTGACAATTGCGTGTGCTCGCGCGAGCCCCTACGATCTGATATTTAAAGACGTAAATTCGCGTTTATTGCTAAGAAAATCATTAAACAGATGTCAAAGACAGCCTCTCAGGCTCATCTTAAAAATCCTACATACGACTTCTGGCTACATCATATTATTTTTCTTGAAGCTTTTAAGGTGGCGCGTACCAGTTTCCTCGCGCGGGGAACAGGTCACTCTTGCGTGACGCGCGCGAGAG